GACATTCGAAACAACACAGAGATGATCTTGCAACGAGACTATCAGTGCTTGGGTCTTGCTGGCTCCGACTTCAAGACATTGCTTGAGATTGCGGACAAGACCAAGGTGATTTTGATGATCCGCAAAAAGGTCGAATCCATCCCTGTTGGTCGCCGTAATGAGTCCCTAAAGTCCTTCATCCAGGTAAGGCTGAAGCAACTGGGAGAGCTGTCTGTTGGCAATATCGCGCAGGAGACTTTCGCACTTTTAGTGAACAAGTTCAAGGTTGCAGCAAATGACAACCAGAATCTGCGAGGCAACTTGGAATTGGCGTCTAAAATTGCTGCTGATGCTCTCTCTGGCAATGCTGTTGTGGATGCACTTGTGAAGAGCTTTTGCCACATGACCAACATGGTGAAGCAGGGGAAAACCCGAGTTCGCACCTCTCGATTTGTCTGTGGTGAGATAGCTGCAGACCTTATGTCCACTGTTGGCAGTGGAGGTCCCTTGGTGGCCATGCTGAAGCCACTTGCCCTGGAACTAAAAGTATATATCAGTTTGTTTCTCTTTTGCTTTGGCGTCCATGCTAGTTCACTTCAATGCCATGAACCCCGTGGGGATTGAACCCATGTCTTTGGATTCTGAGGAATTTGTCTCCGTTTCACATTTCTGAAATCTTCTGAATAGGAGCCTCGTTCCCAAGAATCCCCTGATGTTTGGAAGGTAAATTGCCCTAACCCCAATGGATCAGTTCCAGAATTGAGATAAGGTCTCTGGCCCCTCCCTACTGCTTCTAATAAGGCTGTTTGGCGCGAACCCAAAGATTCTGCCAGCAATCAACTACCAGCATGACTTGCTCCCTCAACCTTATGTGGCACACCGAGACAGCACCATTTTGGAGCAGAATACTTCAGCTTCCCTGAGGCTTTTGTCGGTTCCTTGTAGCGACCGCAATTTCTTGATCGTCCTCGATGAGACCTACTATCATCCAACCCAAGACATCATTGTCAACTTGCGTGGGGATTCAAAGCTGGCTGTGATTGGTGGGTACTACCATTCAGAGGAGGACTGCCGGAACCAACCAACCACTCTTTGTGTTGTGGGTGAGATATGGTGAGATTGTGTGGCAATGTTACTGAGTGCATTTTATCTTTTTATATATTTTTATTCTTTTTTTATATTAGTCTGTTTATGTCTATTTCGGTTTAGATCATATTATGTTATTATGTTATATTATGTTATCATAATTATATATATAACAAATTATAATAGTATATGTTGATGTGATTTGATGATATTTGATGATATTTGATGCGGCATGTTGAGATTTGCATCTCCGGGCTGTGAGATGATGGAACTCTGCAGGATTGGTCGTATTTGGCCTCTGACAGCCCTCGGAGGAAACAGCTGGATGACACGAAGCTTTCCCGGTTGGTCATGCATTATGTAGTGTCTAGAACAGACACTACCAAGCACACCTACTGCGTCTGCATGGTGCCCCGGAAGCCGAAGGCGGGTGGAAAGTTGGAAGTTCTTGCAGAATACGGCAAGATCTTAGAAGCTGCTACTCAGTCCAATGGGCAGACACCGCCTCTGGGTGGGGCATGGGACAACGCAGGGTCAAACCTGTACATCAACGAGGCTTTCCTGGGCAGATTGGACCAGAAAACGTTGCGCAAAGCAGCATTCTTCAAGGACTGCGAACTCAAGCTGATCATGTTGCCCTGCATGCAGCTCTATGGGGCCTTATGACATCTTATAATATCTTATAATATCTTATAATATCTTTTAATATCTTATAATACCTTATAATATCTTATAATATCTTATAATATCTTATAATATCTTATAATATCTTATAATAACATATAATATCATACAATAACATATATCAATATATGATAGAATAAAATAGAATAAATAGGTGTGAAACCCTTTCCGAGGAACACTGGGGCACTTCTGTGATCAGCCGCTGCCTATTTGTGCGGTTTTGATCCCCATTCGAATTGCCTTTGCAGAACAGGTTGGGTTGAGGCTTGTAAAAAAAATGTAAAAAAAAACATGTAGATGCAACATGATGCAACCAGCTTTTTGCAAAAGCGCCTATGTTTCCATTCGGATACAGTGTACATGTGCTCCTGCAAGACTTAAGTAATATGTTCTGAAATGTTTAAATTTCCATTTTTCAATATGTTCTTAATATGGATTTCAATATATGAAATGTTTCAATATATGTTTTAATTAATTTTAATTATAGTGATGCCAGTGATGCAAGCGAGACGCAGTGAGACATAGTGAGACATAGTGAGACTACAATAGACTACACATGCTAATCATACAAAAACTTAAGGGTCATTTTGTGCTGTGTAGTTTTGTTTTTTTTGAATATTTTTGAATATTTGGCAATTTCTAACTGTACTTTCTCAGTTGTGTTCAATGGTTTGGAACTTAATTAATCTTAATTATATGGATGAATTACATACCATTTTGGCTCAAGGTGGCATTCATTGCATATGCGTTGTTGCTTCTTTTTTTCATTTTTTTTCTGGCTTCAATTTTTTCAGTGGTTGCTGTTGTCAAATTCGCGTTTGGCTGGGGGGGTTCACTACACGTTTTCCCATGTTTTTCCATGTTTTTCCACTACCTAGGTGTCAGATTTGCTGTGCAGCTTCACTTTCATGTCTTGTACTTTCATTTCTCCTGTCATTTGACTCCCGGTGACTCCCGGGCGTTTCCGGCGCAATGGATCGCGAGCTTTTGAAACAGCAAACGGTGGAGACCTTGCTTTTGTGGCTTCTGCTAGTCATTAGGGAACTTTGCAATCGTTTCCGAGTTGACATTGACCGGGTTGTGACACCTCCTCCAGCGGTGCATTCTCGGAATCCTTATCCAAATCCAAACGTTGATCCGGAAGCTGTGCTTGAGGCACCTCCCTGCCCACATCAGCGTAGGTTTTGCCAACGTCCCTGTGGGCGTATCAGCATTGACCACACACAGCATAGCTGCTGGACTCACTGTCACGATCGATGAACTCTGATGACTCTGACGTGGGTCCACGGTCTCAAATTGATGTTGAAGAATCAGAAGATAGCCTTGTCAGGCCGTTTTGCAATGTTTTGCAAGGTGAAACCATCACCCAAGCCTCGTTTTTCCTTGGATGTACCTAGGGCCTCATGGAAGGGTCATGCTCCTGATGTTTCCCATCGTGGTTTGGCCCCTCCAGTGATTACGCAAGTGCTGACCAAACTGCAGATATCTGCAGATAGGTCCATGCATTTTGCATCCGAGCATTCGCCAGCGAAACATCCATGTGTCATGTTTATTCATGTTTCACCTTTGTTTCACGCATGGTGAATTTTTCATATTTTTTCACCTTTGATACCTCAGCAGTGTCAATCAGCATCCCGCCAGTGCAAAGATTGTGAATACAATCTACACGTGTTTGCGCATGATTGCACAATATTGCACATGTTTGCGCCATTTTGCACCATTTTGCGCCATTTTGCGCCCAATAGGGGCGATTTCCACCTGGTGAGTTAACTAGTGAGTTAACATGAGTTAACAACTCTTGTTGTTCGATGTTGTTCGCCATGTTTCTCATTGTTACAATTGGTCCCTTGCCATTATGTGAATGCCGATGTGGATGTTTTATGATGTTTTCAAATGTTGCGTTTTTGCCATTTCCACTACTGTTACAGTGGATCGAGCATTCCCTGCTTTCCTCCTTATGGGGGGTCGGATTGTCCATTGATCAGATTGAACAACAATTTGGTCACATTGCCGAACTGGGACCAATAATCCAGCAATGAGAGAAAAAGAAATGAGATCTATGAAGCGCGGAACTGAAGAGGGAAATATTTGAGAAAATATTTGAAGGGGTGATGTTTTCTAATGTTTTCTATTCGTTTTGATTAATCCGGTTACTTACGTTTGGGGTCTGCGTGCGTTCATTATAATATCAAATAATATCAAATAATATCGACTTGTATGTGATATTATAATATATTACAATATATTATAATATATATTATATATTATATACAATATTATACAATATTATAAAATAGTATCAAATTACTATATATTATAATATATTAATATATATATAATTTTATATATATAAATATATATATATATATATATTATATAGATATGTAATGAATGTCCACCTTGAGAACCCCGAAGAGGCTTTTTGATTGCTTTTTGTACACAAGGGGCCCATGCACGAAGAAACCCCTTCAATTTACGATAATTTACGCAGAAACCCCTTCAATTGTTGCTTGTTCATTTTTGTTTGAGGCTGAAACCCTTGCATCCTGATCACAGATTTTCGGAGATAACGGCTTCAGAAAGAAATGATGGGCTAAAAGGGGCACACAAAAAAAAATCAGACAGTGGTTTTCGAATGTTTTGGAATGTTTTCGAATTTCCAGCCCAGATTGGACCAGAAAACTCTGCGCAAAGCAGCATGCCTCCAGGACTGCGAAGTCAAGTTGATCACATTGCCCTGCATGCCGCTCTTTGGGACCTTGCTGTACCGCTCAAAATTTCCCATGCTTGGAAGCAATGATTATTTGCATTGTGCCAAGCGCCTGGCGTATCTTGATATGTTGGTAATCCGTGGCATCACGAGAGATCAAAGTCAGAAAATACATGAAAATACATGTGCTCCTGCAAGATCTAAGCACCCATTCTGTAATATTCTGTAATATTCTGTAATATTTTGATATATTTTGTACAGGTGCAAGTGATGCAAGTGAGACATGTTGAGACCTAGCCACTTTGTACAAGATTGCGCAAGCAAATTTTTGCCTACAATGATTTTTGTACAACCTGCATAGATGAATTGCCATCTGCATGTATAAAACTCCTATCCCAAACCCTTGGGGGTAATTGCAACCTGGATCAATTTTGGGCATATGTGGTGATGAACCATAGCATGCGAATCGCAGGGCAGCCCATGTGTTGCGGTTGTTGTTGCATGATGTTGCATGATGTTGCATGGTGCTGCATTGTGTTGCATGTTGTTGCTTGAGCAGCCAAGGCACCATGTGGTCACTGCTTCCCGTGTGGTTGTCTTTGGCGATGTCTTCACAGAGCTTTGCGGGCTGATTCGCGGAGGACTTTCGATGCGGGCTTACGTGGGAACAGACGTTCAAAGTGACTTCCAAGCTGCGCAGAAGCTATCGCCTGCTTATGCGCAGAAGAAATGGCATGAACACGGATCCAACATTTGTGGATTTGTTGCTGCATTGCTCTCTTCAGCCTGGACTGCAGCACGTGGCTTTTCCTTCCACGAGTCGTTGTCAAACAACATTTGTGCTTTTTACTTCCTGGCGCTGAATCTGATGCTGGCGATGCGAAAGCATGGGCCAAAGCTGTGGGAGGCTCACTACTTGCCAAAGACCACTTTGAGGTGCTGCATGAACTTGTGCTTACACACCATCATCGCAGCAATGAACTGGCCTACAGGCCTGCGGTGGGATCCGAGAAGCCGTGGCGAAGCAAGTGCAGAGCAGTACTTCGGTCAGATCAAATCCCATTGCCGCGGCAAAGCAAGCATCAAGGATGGATTGATGGGGTGTCAGCTGCTTCACTCCCGCAACTTGAAGCATTGCGATGCTCTGCCCAGCTCCGCACAGGGTGAATGCGTTCAGGCAGTGAGCCTTGCTGACATGCAAAGGATTTGCCATCAGTGCCTCTCTGCGACATGTTTGTTGACGTCATGGCTGTGCGTGTGCTTGGGCCGCAATTACCCCAGCATTACGTAGCATTACAACTCATTAATTACATATCATTACATGGATATCATTGTCTCTCAACCATTATCAGTCAGTGCTCACATCAATCACAGTGTGATCAATGCTGCATTGCCAGATTCATGGGGTCCCAACATGTCCTAGCATGTCCTAACATGCCCTAACATGCCCCAACATGCCCTAACCACCTACTAGAACATATCAGGACAGATTAGGACAGGTAGGATCAAGGGAGTCTTTTCAGACCCACATCCCCACGGCATCCTTGCTCTGTGACTCAGGAACGAGCATGCTGACAACCTCCAGAAGGATTTCCAAGCTTGGTGGGCCGGAGAAGGCTGTGAAGAGTTGTTTGGAGAGACACCGCCTGACCAGGACCAAGAGGATTTCTGGGACTTTTCTGGCGATTTTGTGGAGGAGGAGACAGATCCAGCAGCACTAGCCACAGGAGCTTTGGATGAGATGTGTCCTGTTGCACCCCTGTCTTCTCATGATGTCATTGTGAAGGTGGAGGACCGCAGCAATGTTGCAGAGCAGATCAACAAGCTGGTCGATCCAGAACTTGTGGCCGATGAAGTTGTGTCTGCAGTGGCCACTGACCCTGACCCTGATGGCCCATCATCTATACACTATCCTACCACTGTCCTGTCATTGGTATCCTGCCTGAAAGATCGCGAATGCTTCACTAGTGCTGCTGGGAACGCCACTGCTTGCTTAGCCCGACTGGAGAAATTGTCTGAGTACATGAAGAAGCTCACTGCCCATGCTCGAGTGAACGAAGGAATCTTGACTCCGACCAAGCTAGGAGCTCCAACTCGAAAACTCGGTGCTTACCAACAACTGCTGCACGAGATTCACATGGCCAGGCAGATGTCCCTGTTTGGTGGGGCCAGGACAGGCCGACTGGAGGCATGGTTTAATGCCCAAGCTGCTGTGAAGGAGAGAAGCTTAGTGCCTGGCAAGGATAAAGTGGATGATGATTTTCCTAGTGTCGTCGACCAGTTTCGCCCTCTCTGTACACAGCCTCTGCAGGTGGTCCTTCTCAAGGCCATGCAAGGAGGTCTGGTAACCACCTACCAGCTTGGCCTGGTGCTGTCAGTCTTCCGTGCTTCAGTGTCCAGAGATGTAGCTGGCACCCGCAGACTTCGTGCTAGCAAAGCAGTCCCAGGAGCTGTGTCTGTGCAGGGCGTGGCCAAGTTGCATGTCGCGATCCTACAAAATTTGGACAGTTGCCGGGTGTGGTGCGTGACATCCCTCAGCCCAGTCAGTCAGGTGGAGCCTGTGGACGCTGTGTTTGGAGAGGTCCCACCTGATGATGTGCAAGAAGGCCACCAGAAGCTGTTCATCCAGTTCAATGAAAACAAAGCTGCGGTGCTGACCAAGTGGCTGAGTGGCGATTTGGAAGAGATGACTGCAGGAGAGCCGGAGAAGGAGGCAAAGACATTTTCCTTTTCTTGTCACAGCTTCCCGAAGAGCATGACAGGATACACGTGCATCAAGCAATTCTTGCTTCGCCTTCCAAAGGAATGGGAGCTGTTTGGCGAAAAAAAATTGGATGGACAAGGGTGCATCCATGTTGGCAAAGGCAAGGCGAAACGAATCCTCCAATGGGTTGACCTGTGTGAGCGATCTCGCTGTTATTTTGATGCTCGCGCAGAGGCTACTGCGACAACTGCTCAGCGGTTTTCTCGCATGGTGTTCACCGAGCTACGCAGGCCCAGGGCATCAAACGATAAGCGGGGGTATGGCGTAATGAAATGTGATGAAAACATACTACTGGGTAAAAGCCTTAAGTTGTCTCAGGATGTCTCAGGTAGCACTTTGTTGTCTCATCTTGGTGTGCCATGCCGAAGAGGTGACACAACCACTGGAGTGAATATGAATGAATTACTATATGATTTATATTGATTTATTATGATTTGTCATTTGGTATGATCTTTATATACAGCAGAACGCATAGGCATGCAGGGATTCTTAGCATTTCTTAACATTGCAAACATTAATTTTATATAATTTTATCATATTTTTCCATTTGCCCCCTAACAATCCCTGGAGCAACGTGAGTTTCCCACACAGTGTGTCCACACTTGGGGGTCTTCTGATCGGTCCTCCTCCTCCTCTTCTTCCTCCTCCTCCTCAGTATCATCATCTTCCTCCTCCTCCTCCACATCATCATTCTGAGCATCATCCTCTTCCTCCCCCTTGACATCATTTGACATCATCATCCTCAAGATTGTCATCCTCCACCTAATCTTCTGCATTCTTCTGCAACATTATCCTCCCCCACCTCCTCTTCCGCAACATTAATGATCATCCTTTTCATCCTCCACCTCCTCTTCCATTCCATATTCTGATTCCGGGCATAGCTAAATGCAACCCAGGGACATGATTCAAACTTTGCAACCACTTCAAAACATGGTGCATCTGAGCCGCTGTGCCATTGGGATTTGACACCTGGGGTAACTGCTGTCTGTCCTGGGGTGACTCGGTGTGCCTTGCGGTTGGGGTAACATGGGGTAACTACTGGGTAGATGGGGTATGATGGGGTAACTAAGGGCACCCGCTTGTAAAGCTTGCTATACCATAATATACCTAGTTTGAGGTGTTGAGAAACTTGGTGGAATCCACATGATTCCACTAAGTCCTTGATTTTCGGGACTCTTCAAAAGGGATAACAAAGAAATACAAAGAATACCTTAGGCTCCAGCTATGAAAGGCATTTTATATATTTTAATATATTTTAATATATGTTAAAATCATTTAAAATCTACCTGGGATCCATGTCAGCCTGGCACCCAGCCTGCCCAACAGGCTGCTTCCTGGACCAGATGCTCCACAGCAACGTGTGAAGGCCTTTGCGGCAGAAGTTGACAGCGCTGCCTTGCCCTTGTTGCGTCTGTCTGCATAGGGCCATGTTTTTCTATGTTTTTCTTAGTCAATCTCACTCATCGAATAGCACCAGGGCAGCCAATGATGTGCCATGATACATCATGTATCACCATATATCACCATATTACATCATGATATTTCCAAACGGCTCAGATGCACGATCATGGCAGCTCATCAGTTTTTTAAATTTCCAAGATGGGCGTGGCAACAAGCTGCCCATGTGGGGACTCTTGGGGGGACTTTCCGAAGAAGGAAAAAAAGTTGAGCGAGATGAGACATAATCATGTTCCACTTGAGTGCAGGTCTTGGATTTTTACCTTGTTCATCCTTTTTACCATGGATTTCACTATAAGTTTCTGGATGCCGGAAGGATGATTTAGAGGGGGGGGACCCTGAAAAGAAATATTTTTTTTCACTAGGTCCTCCTAGCATAAATCTTGGGGATATTATATCAGCTTCAAGATTTCTTGTTTCGCTTGCCTCATGATTTTTGATTTCCCCATGGAGAGATTGCACCTGTACTGTATTGGGGCATTAGGGTGTTGTCTTCACGTTCCAAGGTAGCAGAGTCCAAAGGGTTGTCAGACACTGTCACTTACATGGCCTTTTTGGGCTCGTGTCGCAATCTGAAGTCGAAACTTCATGCAAAAGCGGCTTTCAACAAGCTGAAGAAGCACGCGGACAAGCCGGCTTTGGCCAGCGCATATGTTCTTATGCCTCTTTGGCAGAAGTTTCTAACATGACAGGAATTGAAGCAGATGGTTTTCCAGATTAGCTTGCAAACAATTTCGAGAAGACTTGACACAACAACTGCAACTGTTTATGTTGCTCCAAGACAATGTATAGAGTTGGAAATGTGGGTGTGATGTTTGACTCATTTTGTTGTCCTTCTGGAGTCTGTATGTCTGGCAGTCCTAGATGTCCCTAGTGCCCCCTACCGCGCTAATTTTATGAAGGTAAGTTCCGGCTCAACAGACTCTGCATTTGTTATGACTTGGTCACCCTGCCGGGTGGTGGTCCCTGGTCCGTGCGCAAGGTCAGAGCTCTACGAGCGTCTTGGGCAAGGGGAAAAAGCCCGTGACTTAGAGGCGGAACGCCTCAGTCTTGGCCTGGTGAAACAACGAGGGGAATCTTACTTGCACTTGGCAGGCCTGAGAAGGGTTTTGAGTTCCACAGTTCCACAGTTCCACTTGCAAAAACAGATGTTCCTTTGACTCACACTGTTTTCATTGGGTCAGAGTCATTCCAAGTTTTGGAACCACTTGTCAACACCTGTGACCATTTGTGACATCTTGTGACCACTGATCGCCACTTGTCATCACTGTCGCTCGTGACATGTGCTGCGTGTCGGTGTTTGTTTGTGCTAGGTGGTGGCTCCCGAACCTTTGTGGTCGGTGCTGAAAGCCCTGAGGAGAGTCGCATCATCGATGACTTCAACGCCAAAATCAGGGCAGGTGGTTACAGGCTCTGTGGGAAGGGCCTTTGCGGTGGCAACACAAATGGTGAGAAAGGTTCCCGTGAATCTTGCAAAAGATGCATGAATGTGTTTGAACAAGTTCAAACATGATACTTCAAATGTTTCACCATGCTTTAAATGTATCAGGTACTACAAATTCAATTCCCCACGTGCCAGAGGCCTGATCTTTCTTCGGCATCTGCCCGTCATGATACTGATGAAGCAAAAGAACGATCGCTCTCTGGTCATTCTGAAAAGAAAGCCGTCGCTGTGGCCTTGAGCATGACGAGTCAGACGAGTCAGAATGAACCCATCAGTATCACCAAGAACCTCCGAGTTTGTGGGAAGCTTAGACGGCTTAGACTCGGGATTCGCCTGATGTGCGCAGAGAGGATATTGATTTCAAGCTGTTGTGTTTGTGTCAACTCCAGAATAGATGAGTCGCATCTACAGTTGCGTTCCAACAAATATCAAGGAATGGGATTTGCGATTGAAAATTTGTTGGTATTTGATGATATTTGTTGTATAGAAGCGTGTTGACCATTAGCACCCATTGTAGGAAAATGTAGGAAATTAATGCCAGGCCCTCTTTTCACCAATGACAACCCATATGAAATCAATACCAGTGCCACATAGTCCCCTTGTCACGGCAGACTCGATCCGGTGAGGCAACGACTGCCATGCTGCGATGGCTGTGGCCTCCAAAGTGTTTTGCAAAGAAATCCATTTACGCGACAGGTCACGTTGGCACATTTTCAAGGATGGTGTTTGCAGTTGTTCTGATTGTTGGTGAATTGTTGGTGAATTGTTGGTGAATTGTTGGTGAATTGTTGGTGATGGTGATCTGACAGTCCACAAGCCCAGCTGCAGTCTATAAAGATTATAAAGAGAGCCTTGCAAAAAGCAAACGACAGCGAGACTCACAAGACTGGCGAGACTGGCGAGGCTGCACAGGTGAAAGATCAAAGGCTCCGACTTCAACTTGGAAAAACATCAACGGTGGGTAAAATCAAAGCATGCTGTACTCGCATGACGTTCGTTGCATGAACTGCAGACAGAGAAGTAGCGCTGGTCCCTGATGGTCCCTGATGGTCCCTGGCTCTGGAGCTTCCTGAAGCGAGAGGAGCAAGAGGAGTAAGGAATGAAAGAATTCACTCTTCACACCTCAACAACAACGCAATTGGGTATTGACCATTTCGACATCATCAAGGAGAATCAAACTGTCTTCAAACACAACCGCACAGGGTGCGAAGGAGTTACTTTGCATGACCTTTGGTCTTTCTGCCGCCGCAAAGACACATATCAATCTCAGGTGGTCGTCTACCTACATTCCAAGGGATCTTTCCATGACTCAACTGGGCAAAAACAGCTGCGAGAATACCTGACAAAGGGCGCTCTTTCGGAAGAATGCCTCACATTGCCAAATCAATGCAATGTCTGTTCAACCAGGATATCTCCTCTTCCACACCTCCATGTACCTGGCATCATGTGGGCTTCCCGCTGCGACTATGTTTCCAGGTTGATTGATCCTTTAGCATTTGAAGATGCAATGACTTCGTACATGGGCCGCGCGAAAACATTGGACCAAAAGTGCAAACAAGGAAGTCCAGCGTGTGTCGGCAGGGACAGATTTTCTTATGAGCACTGGGTGCTGTCGCACCCTAGGGCACATCCATGTGATCTCGACAGCAACGACGCATATATTTGGGGCGCTCCTTGGGGTAGCTCTGGCGGGAAAGACATCGACAAGAGCATGAATGCCTTTGCGCAAGGTGTGAAGGGAGCAAAGGAGCTGAAATCGATTCCTCGGTTTGGTTTCGCTATGCTTCCGTCGAATGCGGGTGTGATCCTCTTCACACCTCTTGACAATCTGAAATATACAGAACTGCTGCTTTTGAGCTACGAACTGTTCCACGACTGAGCTCTTGTGCGCGCAGTTCGAAGGTGACTATCTTTGAGATGTCCAAGTGATGCCTAGGGCAGCTCTTCTCACAAAAACCGATCCAAAATGAACGGTGTGTCCAGGATCGTCACGGATAAAAACAGAGCTATTCTGGTCTATTCTGTATAAGTTCGATCTTTCATGTGTACACAGAAATATACAATGTACGTCTGTACATATGCACGGTATGTATGTCTATATTTTGCTATACACAAGTCATATTAGTCTCTCAATTCGGAGCCCTTGGTGATGAGGAGTCCTCTCTTGTACGAGCAACGTAGCAGTGTTGGAAGCTGTTGCGTGTCTGCATGTTTGTTTCTGGTGACATTGAACTGTCATTTTTTGCTAAACCCATTGCTGAAACAAACGCTGTGTTCACTTGTTTTACCTTCTTGATGAAGTTTAAATATGTATATATTATATATATAATATACACGTACACCTGTTTTTTAATACTGTCAAGCTGATTGGAGCATTTTTGGCTTCGTTTGACTATAAGGATGGCTTGAGAATCCCATTGTTTGACTTATGTTCCGATTTTATGCGAGTGAGATCATGTTCCTGAATCGCATTTTCATTGCAAAAAGGAAATCCACGCAGTCCATGCACTTGAACGCTGGTGGGAGGCCCTGTAGGCTTAAGCCGCCACAAAGGGCATTTTTGACCATGGCTCGGCTTGGGGCCGGAAGCAAAGAACAATCAATCCTCGAAACCGCAGTTGCATGTGCAGTTGCTACTTTCACCATGGAGTACTGTAGGGCTGCTTCAAACTGCTTAAATCCGCTTCAATCTGACCATTTGACACCTGCTGTGTGGCTGGTGTGTGGTTGCTTCATGTGAGGTCAATTTGCTTTGTTTGACATGTGCTGCTTCAGCCTCAGAGGTTTGATGTCAGATGTCAGCACAGTGGGTCAGCCATGACGAGAAAGCGACAGATCAAGAGACGTCCAGAAAGTGTGGTGACAGTTTACAGTCGCCATACATGAATTTACAATTATATACGGTATACATCCATTTGCCATCCAGATGTGCACGCTGAACGAGCTCAGGTTTGTTTAGCATTTTGTTCCATTGCAGGTGCCTGACTTGATTCTTCTGAAAGTGCTTGACATTTCTTTTGCACTCCTCCTATGCATTAAAGTTCGCACTTTGTATTTTGTAGTTGTTTGCAAATGTAAAGGACTTTGTGTTTTTCCCTTATATCTTGCTGTGCTTTTTCTGTCGTTTGTATCTACAAAGTGCATTCCTTGATAAATGCCATTCTGTGTGTGCACACGCGCACAAACACACGCACACGTATACCCCGTAATTTCGGCTTGCTAGGTTCCCCGTCGTTGCTTGACTTGAAAAGCATAGTGGGATGACAGGGAAGGACACTTTTGTCAGGATGGAAATGATGGAAACCTGTTAGGCCGGGCAGATTGTCGTTGTAAATAGCCTATCCGCATCCGCTAAACTGTAATTCCTGAGGTTTCTCGGCATCAGTGCCGCACGGGGACGAGTCGGGCGCCAAAGTCCGAATGCGGCAAGAACGGTCAGCAAATTTCACAACAATTCTGAAATATTCTGAACGTTGAACAATGCATAACGATATGGCGAATATTGGCGAATACTATACAATACTTCCAGGTGAATCCATTGGACATGGCTTTACGATTTGGGAAGCCATAGGAACCGTAGGAATGAGCATTTTGTCTCTTGCCCTGGAGGATAGCCTGGTTGCACGCAAGGCTGGAAGGGGAAGCTTTTGCATCAGAGGACACTGGATTCACAAGGGCTGCATCAGGATATTACCCAGCTCTGGAGGCAGCCAAAGCTGAGCCAAAAGCTGCGAAAGACAAGGCATGACCTGCGCAGCAAACAAAAGCCCAAAAGAACAAGTGCTTGACTTGGCAAAATGTTATTTTTGAAGTTTGTGCTGTGACGTTTGCTGTCCGGTCTTTGTTCCCAGACAAGAGCACCAGCCATGGAAGAGAATGACGCAGACGATGAACTATTGTACTCTGAAGAAGATGAGGCCGGATAAGTGATAGATTGGCTTTGCAAGATGCAAGCAAAGTCCTCATTCCTTCAGAGCAGCAGATGTGCTTAATTAATTAGTATATATTATCATGCAACAAGCAGACTGCTGAAGGGATCAGATTTGTTGATTTGGAAGAAGCTCAAGATTCAAGAAGTCAAGACATCAAAGACATCCCCTTTTTGCCACGTTTTTTTGCTGCCGCTTCTGCGCAGTACGGCGACGAGTTTGATGAAGATGGAGATTTCATGGAGTTGGATGGGTACGAACCTGGGAATGCAAGTGGATCGAAATGACATAAATCCAGGCGTAAATCGAAGTTCAATGCAAAATCATGAAAACAAAAATCGTCAAAAGTGAAAATCATCAAGATCGTCAGCCGCAGGCCTCCTCCGGAGGTCCTCGATGGTTGGGAGAAGGACCGTGAAGTGAAAGCACAGAAAGCACAGAAAGCCATGGAAGACGTGTGACAGACGCGTGAAAGACGTGAGAGGATTGAAAGCAGAGCTGAAAGCGGAGATTGCAGTGGACTCTAATTGGACGCTGATTGGACGCTATAGCAGCTATAGCATCATTTTGCTGGATCGCATATTCGCCCGGCTTCGTGTGAAGACTAGATTTTTTTCAGAGTCTAGGACCTCTAGGAGTAGTTCAACAGGGATTCAACAGCATTGCAGAACACTAAGCTTCAAGAACCGAAGGTGGGGACAGCAGCAGAATTAAAGCAACGCAAAGCAGCTAGTGCACCAACATGCCACTATTTGGACGTAGTTGACACAATGATCGTCAAAAAGTATCGGAAGACATGCAAAGCTGATATGAACGAGCCCAACATACTGCTACTTGCGGTTTTATGTTTATTTCAATTCAGATACAGTACGGCCAGCAAATGTGTGCAAACGCCAACAAATGTGCGCAAATGCCATCAAATGTGCGAAAATGCAAGCAAATGTGAGCAAATGCCAGCAAATGTGTGTTTCAGAAAGGAAGCAATGCTGCAATTAGTTTGCAGTGTTCTTGAAAGAAAACGCTCGTAGCTGCGACTTGTTTGCCTTCAAAACAAAGCCACTTGCAGGATATGTTCACTTAGCAAAGAACAGTGTCGATGCGAAAAAATGCATGAAACGCAGCATTTCCTCTATCGCAGGAACAACAAATGCAAAACAAAGGTCAATCATTGGAACGGTGTCCCAATTTTGGATGCAAATAGGTTTACCGTTTGCAATAGGTAAAGGTGCAAAAGAATGCAAAAGAATGCAAAAGAACATATGGCGATCCAGGATGATCCAGGTGGGACCCCCAGCTCCAGGATCAGGTCCTACAGAGTCCTACATGACATCACGCCGCGGTGTGGGCCAGCGTGAATAGTTTGATTTGCTGGAAGCAAGTAGAAAGTAGATGCAAGTAGCACAAGATCCATCCGCACCAGGAAGATATGGTCAGATGGAAATCTAGTGGTGCCCTTGAATGAAATCTGTTTTGCAACCCTATGAAGAGTTTTGGTGAGTAAACTGGTTCCAACGTGTCCATGTTGCAAAACTTAGCACTGGATTTTGGGGTTTCATATGTCAGAATTTTAAGAACTCGAAATGCAGAATGTTTTCTGTTTTTATCTGTTTTTGTGTAAGTTTCCATAGTGTCGTATTTAGTTTCTGCAAGTTGGAGCTTGTCAGGATGAGATAGCAATGGCTCTCTTAGCCCAATTTCAGTCAGAGGAGTTTGAGGGCAAGGTGACTTGCATTGCTTGTGTGAGATTTGTTTGTGGCTGAAATACTTTTTGTCAGTTCTTTCATATTCTTTCATACATGGTGATTGCTTTGGATTGCTCTCGCGCGATAAATTTGCCGACCCTGTCGCGACAGAAAATCATGAGCTTCCGGGACGTGGCGCAGCTTTTGGAAGTGCTAGGTCGGAAGTCCATTAGACGGTGAAAGACGAATTGAAAGATGTTGAGTGACTTGTGAGCTGCAAAGGACTGGAGAGGGAGCAGTTCGTCGGCATCTTCAGTGGACAGGCCAGCGGAATGCCAAAGATGGATTTGGATAGATCTGAACCTGAAATACCTGAAATCCTAACTGCCGTTTGTAAGATTTTGCAATCTTAATTGCCAACCCTGGCACTCTGTTGGCAAATTCCTCGTACCAAGCAGTCCAAAGCTGTCCTGCAAATTCTTCTACCGGTTTTGTCACCAGAAATCGGCGGATTTGTTGGCCAAGTCTTCGACAATTCGTCCACTCTTGCAAGATCTTGCAAGATCTTGCAAGACCCTTCACAAATGTTCCTTTTCAATCCTTTTCACATCTTTTCACCGCGTCAACCAGTGACTGCTTTCTACTTAAAACATTGGAATACAAGTCGTTCGGTCTTCCTTTGTGGTACATTTGAATCCTCATCCTGTTTTGAGGCAGAAGAAGACGAAGACTTCGATTTTGAGGATGAGTATCTTGATGAGGAGGAGGTTCGAGATCTTTTGATATCTTCCTGAAGTTTGTTTTAGAATTTTAGACCTTCTTCGAAGAAGACCTGTTTAAAATTGCTTGATTTCCGGGAATGCTGTGAAATCGCAAGTTAACCCATCAGGACTTGATATAGTGGTAAGAATGACAATACGATATAACAATGTGATACAATATGTTTATACTATATACACATATGTAATGTACTGTCCTATGATATGTAATGTAACATCCAAAATGTTTTAATATAGCATGTAATTTTGTATCATTGAACGCTGAATATATCTTATGATCCCAGCCTTGGAGATATTTCCCCACATCTTTGTGTGGGGTTCTTGTTTTTGGTTGTGCACTCCTGCCTGCCGCCATCTGCTCCTCCTCCTCCCGCCGCCCGCCGCCCGCCTCCTCACACGCAGCGTGTTCACACACAACTTGTTCACACGCAACTTACTCACACACAGCTTGTTCACACACAACTTACTCTCACACACAACTTACGTGGCTCGTACTTCGCTTGTGGCGGTAAGATGCTCCAATCGCTTGTGGCAGTCAAAACGTTCATTTTTTAGTGCCGCCAGTGATTTTTTTTACTGCCGCAGGTGATTGCTGTTTTTGCGTGGCAGGTGCAGCGGTGCAGCATTTCAAGGCCTAATCGCTTGTGGCGGTAAGATCACGGTTTCTGTTTTCAATCGCTTGTGGCGGTAAAAATCTATCGCTTGTGGCGGTAAGTGGGTGTCCTTGATGCCAGGATATATAAAACCAATCGCTTGTGGCAGTAAGCTGCTTTGCAGCACTTGCGCACATACTTGTCTTCTATCCATGTGATTTCTACACATTCACTGGAACCATTGCAACGCTGACGTACAGAAGGTTTATGTTAACTTCTTTCTGTTGTACAGGATTTCACTGTTTTTACTGATGTCTTGATTGAAGTTTAGATCATGTCTGCATCCTTTTAAGGGGATCTCACAAAGAGGGTTGGAGCAACTTTTTAGGGGGCTATTCGAATCGGTTACCATAGGTAAAACATATGGCTTTTGATAGCATTTGGTGTGAATCCAACCCAGAGAGAATAAATGAAAGGAGAAAAAGAAAGACCGACCTTTATCCAGGTGGAATTTCAGCTCTGCTGTGTTTTTCATGTCTTTTCGTTTTGCATTTGGGTATATATAACGCGACGGTTGATATAGTGGCTATAGGTACCGTGGCGATAGCCTCACGTTAGGATATACATGGAACTGCGCGACCGCGACTAGATTTGTAGTAGCTGTTAAGCGAGCATGTATTTCCATGGAAGGGTTTAGGGCTCAGGGTGGAAACTTTAGTTACATAGCTAGCACGTTATCATTAACTTTCTCCTCCTCCTCATCATCATCATCGTCATCATCATCATCATCATCATCATCTTCCCCCTCCTCAACATCAACGTTATTATCCCACCCCACCCCACCCCACCCAGCAGTAACTGATGATGAAAGAGCAGTGCCTGTGCCTGCAGGACAGCAAGAAAGATGATGAGGTTGCCGTGCCTGTGTGTGTACAGGAACATGAACGTTATTATCCCACCCCACCCCACCCCACCCCACCGTCAGGCTCCTACCTCGCCTGTGGCGGTAAGCAAAACCAATCGCTTGTGGCAGTAAGAACGTTCCAGAATCTTACTGCCGCAAGTGATTGGTTTTGAAGAGTCTTACAAGAGCCTTACTGCCGCAACTGATTGATTCTTACTGCCGCAAGTGATTGAAATCTTACTGCCGCAAGTGATCGAATCTTACTGCCGCAAGTGACGGTTGAGCCACTTACTTACACACAGCTTGTTCACTCACAACTTGCCCGTACACAACTTACTCACACACAGCTTTTTTACACACAGCTTACTCACACACAGCTTGTTCACACACAATTTGCTCACACAGCTTACTCACAACTTGCTCGCACACACCTTACCCACAGACAGCTTGTTCACACACAACTTACTCTCACACAGCTTACTCACAACTTGCTCACACACAACTTACTCACAGACAGCTTGCTGACACACAGCTTGTTCACACACAACTTACTCTCACACAGCTTACCCACAACTTGTTCACACGCAACTTATTCTCACACAGCTTACTCACAACTTGCCCAAACACAACTTACTCACAGACAGCTTGTTCACACACAACTTGTTCACACACAACTTGTTCACACACAACTTACTTACACACAGCTTGCTCATGCACATATTATTCACACACAGCTTGTTCACACACAGCTTTCTCACACATACCTTGCCCACACACAACTTACTCTCACACAGCTTACTCACAACTTGCCCAAACACAACTTACTCACACACAGCTTGTTCACACACAGCTTGTTCACACACAACTTGCTCATACACAACTTACTCACACAGCTTGTTCACACACAGTTTGCTCTCACACACCTTGCCCACACACAACTTACTCTCACACACAGCTTACTCACAACTTGCTCGCGCACACAACTTACTCACACACAGCTTGTTCACACACAACTTACTCACAGCTTACTCACAACTTGCTCGCACACAACTTACTCACAGACAGCTTGTTCACACACAACTTGTTCACACACAACTTACTTACACACAGCTTGTTCACACACAACTTGCTCATACACAACTTACTCACACACAGCTTGTTCACACACAGCTTGCTCACACATACCTTGCCCACACACAACTTACTCTCACACAGCTTACTCACAACTTGCCCACACACAACTTACTCACAGACAGCTTGTTCACACACAGCTTGTTCACACACAACTTGCTCATACACAACTTACTCACACACAGCTTGTTCACACACAGCTTGCCAACACACACCTTGCCCACACACAACTTACTCTCACACAGCTTACTCACAACTTGCTCACACGCAACTTACTCACACACAGCTTGTCCACACACAGCTTACTCACAGACAACTTACTTACGCACGACTTACTCACAATTTGCTCACACACAACTTACGCACACACAACTTACTCACACACAGCTTGTTCACACACAGCTTGTTCACACACAGCTTGTTCACACACAACTTATTCACCCACAGCTTACTCACAGCTTTCTCACACACAACTTACTCACAGACAGCTTGTTCACACACAGCTTGTTCACACACAACTTGCACATACACAACTTACTCACACACAGCTTGTTCACACACAGCTTGCTCACACACAGCTTGCTCACACACACACCTTGCCCACACACCACTTAATCACACACACACCGTGCCCACACACAGCTTACTCACACACAACTTACTCACAACTTGCTCACACACAACTTACCCTCACACAGCTTGTTCACACAAAGCTTACTCACACACACCTTGCCCCTACACAACTTACTCACACACAGCTTGCTCACACACACCTTGCCCACACACAACTTACTCACACACAGCTTCTCCACACACAGCTTACTCACACGCAACTTACTCACAACTTGCTCACACACAACGTACTCACACACAGCTTGTTCACACACAGCTTGCTCACACACACCTTGCCCACACACAACTTACTCACACACAGCTTGCTCACACACATATTTTGCGCACATATAATGCACGCACACACAGCTTGTTCACACACAGCTTGTTCACACACAGCTTGCTCACACACAACTTACTGACACACAACTTAATCACACACAGCTTGTCCACACACAGCTTGCCCACACACCATGTACTCACACACAACTTATTCACATCTTGCTCACACACAGCTTGCTCACGCACACCTTGCCCGTACACAACTTTCTCACACACAGCTTGCTCACACACAATTTCACTCACACAAAGCTCGTCCACACACAGCTTACTCACACAGAACTTACTCACAACTTGCTCGCACACAACTTACTCACACACAGCTTGCTCACACACAACTTACTCACACACAGCTTGTTCACACACAACTTACTCACACACAGCTTGTTCACACACAACTTGCTCACACACAACTTACTCACACACACACACACCTTGCCCACACACAACTTGCACACACACACACACAACTTACTCACACACAACTTACTCACAACTTACTCACACACAACTTACGCACACACAACTTACTCACACACACACACACCTTGCCCACACACAACTTGCACACACACACACGCACACACTAGACAAGAATGGATCTTTTAAGAGATCCGTCGGGATCTGAGTCCCTAAGCATGCACCTAGATTAGTTACGTATATATATATATATATGTATGGATATATAGATATATAGATAAATATTCAACCTCTGGACATCCAAGCTGTGCATGCTGGCACCCATGGACTGCTCGCGATGCGTTCAAAGTGACATCCCAGCTGCGCACGACGGCGCCCAGGGGCTGTCACTGCAGTGCCCAGCTACGGCCCCCACTTAAGGGGTTGCCGTCCAGGGCCACTGCAAGCAGGTACGTTTACACGGGTCCCGGGGGGTGTCTTCCTTGGCCACCGACCCCCCCGGGATCCCGGTGGTCCCCTGCTTTTAGGTATTTACTATAATATAATATATAATACGATGAATCACGACCGAAGTTTTACGTCTGTGCAGACGTTCCACACTCAGGGTGGTGTATTGGCAAATGAGGTGAAGGCGAAGATGAAAAGGGGAAATGATGATGAGATGAAAGTGAAGATGACATGACAATTACTTAACCAGAACGCGAAGGGGGGAACGCAAAAGAAGAAGGAAGGAGCAAACACACACCAACACACCTGGCCCGGAGCGGGCAAAGCCTGAAAGGGCAAGGGAAAAAAAAAGCGGAGGGTCGACGGACACGGAACAAGACCAGCGGAGGGGGGGTAGACGGAAGCGCCTGAACCAACCTGACACAGCGAAAACCTACGCCTACCTCGGCACGCGAAGGACCCGACCTACCTAGGGAGGGAAGAGCGCATGAAATAGGGGACCAAATGGGGGACTATGGTGAACATGGAAAAAATAAAAAAAATAAGGGGACTCAGTTCCACTTACAACAGAAGTCGTGCGTTACTCCCCTTCGGGACCGTAGTCAAGTCGTGCCGCAATGGCATAAACAGCTGTTCAAGTTCCAATGAATTAGACGCGCGAAATGTTCAACCTCACCAGGCAACCATCAAGAGAAAGAAAACCACACCTGAAAGACGTGTGCCTGCCTTTCCTACTGTCATGAGCGTCAGAAGTTTGAGCTACGGTAAAAGGAAGGTTTCTGACTGTTCGAAAAAGCATCGCAGTGAAAGAAATGAAGTTGGCGAGGTTCCCTGGGACCACAAGAGCAGCGGGACGAGCCTAAAAGGCTGGTAAACAAACGGCCAACTGTTTCACTATACTTAGACGAATTATCCAGTTAAAATGTGTAAATTCGGACGTCGATTCGTCAACCGTCACCCTAAACAGGGTTGCCTCAATTGGCTCCATGGCACCATGTCGGAGCCACCATGGATATAACACTAGACAAGAATGGATCTTTTAAGAGATCCGTCGGGATCTGAGTCCCTGAGCATGCACCTAGATTAGTTACGTATATATATATATAGATATATAGATATATAGATAAATATTCAACCTCTGGACATCCAAGCTGTGCATGCTGGCACCCATGGACTGCTCGCGATGCGTTCAAAGTGACATCCCAGCTGCGCACGACGGCGCCCAGGGACTGTCACTGCAGTGCCCAGCTACGGCCCCCACTTAAGGGGTTGCCGTCCAGGGCCACTGCAAGCAGGTACGTTTACACGGGTCCCGGGGGGTGTCTTCCTTGGCCACCGACCCCCCCGGGACCCCGGTGGCCCCCTGCTTTTAGGTATATATACTATAATATAATATATAATACGATGAATCACGACCGAAGTTTTACGTCTGCGCAGACGTTCCACACACACACACAAACAACTTACTCACACACAACTTACTCACAACTTGCTCACACACAACTTACTCACACACAGCTTGTTCACACACAGTTTACTCACACACACAGCTTGTTCACACACAACTTGCTCACACACACAACTTGTTCTCACACAACTTACACTCACACAGCTTACTCACACACAACTTGCTCACACACAACTTGTCCACACACAACTTGTCCACACACAACTTGCTCACACACAACTTGTTCACACACAACTTGTCCACACACAACTTACTCACACACAGCTTGTCCACACACAACTTTCTCACACACAACTTGCTCACACAACTTGTCCACACACAACTTGCTCACACACAACTTGTCCACACAACGCCGCCGTCTTTTGCGTGGCAGGTGTGGCACTTGGAGACATCCAGAGCCACTTGGCGTGGCCGGCGTGGCGCTTGGTGACATCGACCTGCGTTTGCGTGGGAGGGGCGGCACTTGTGGCACTGGGCTGGCTCTTGTGACGCGCTACGTCCGCGCTGGTCGCCGGTGACGCCGCGGTCTTTTGCAAAACACCAGCTCGAACCCAGTCCAGGTCTCATATCCAGATGTCCCCAGGAAATCCCCAAGATCCCCAGGCATAACACCAGTTGTCTCTAGAAGATCCATCGAAACCCACTGCGTCCGGAGGTAGGACCTGATTCTTTAATGGCACCCTCCACCAAAGAACCGGACACCTGGGTCAAAAACTGAACACAAAGCGGGATATGCTGTTTACAATCCAGAAAAAGAGGGGGCAGCCAAAGACAACGCTTGCTTTGGCAGAAGCTTCTGCCATGACAAAAACAGAAGCCGCGAATCTGGCATGGGCAAAAAAGAAGGGCAAATTTCATCTACGGTGTGCAGAGGAATCATTTGAGTACGTTTGGTGTTTTTATGTTTGTTGATGTCCACATGGCTAACATGGACTGCCTATTTTCTAGAGGTTCACTTTTGTTCTTGTACTTTTTTGTAGTTGGTTGGGCCATGATTTTTTAGATGGTCTTAGACCCCCTTGCATCCTAGGTAGGCATTCTTTAGATGTGCCATTTCAGTAGCGCAAGGTGGACCACCGTTTTTTGTCTAGAGAATGCTGGAGTCCATGTGCGCAGGAGAACTCCACGGGGGATTCCTTTGTTTTTTCACTTATTCCCCAAGCAGTGTGTCCACACTGAGGGGTTCTTGCGGTAGGTGCAAAGGCCGGTAATTGATCAGGGTGCTCACTCTGGGCCGCAGCATTTCTCTTGTAAATTTCCTTGTAAAGTGGCTCTTGTAAAATGTTGACATGCATGTCGACGGAGCAGGCTCGCGCAAAGTGGCTGTCTGCGTTCTGGGCTGACTTTGGGGCGCGGCATTTTTCCCACTAATTTTCGTATAAAGTGGCTTTTGCGAAATGTTGAAATGCAGTTCGACCGCGCAGGCTCGCACAAAGTGTGGTCCTAGGTTCTGGGCTGCGGCATTTTTCCTGTAAATTATATTTCTGAAATGATGTTGGCATGCATGTCGACGGAGCAGGCTCGCGCAAAGTGGCTGTCTGCGTTCTGGGCTGACTTTTGGGGCGCGGCATTTTTCCCACTAATTTTCGTATAAAGTGGCTTTTGCGAAATGTTGAAATGCAGTTCGACCGCGCAGGCTCGCACAAAGTGTGGTCCTAGGTTCTGGGCTGCGGCATTTTTCCTGTAAATTATATTTCTGAAATGATGTTGGCATGCATGTCGACGGAGCAGGCTCGCGCAAAGTGGCTGTCTGCGTTCTGGGCTGACTTTTGGGGCGCGGCATTTTTCCCACTAATTTTCGTATAAAGTGGCTTTTGCGAAATGTTGAAATGCAGTTCGACCGCGCAGGCTCGCACAAAGTGTGGTCCTAGGTTCTGGGCTGCGGCATTTTTCCTGTAAATTATATTTCTGAAATGATGTTGGCATGCATTTCGACTGAGCAGGCTCGCACAAAGTGGCTGTCTGCGTTCTGGGCTGACTTTTGGGGCGCGGCGTTTTTCCCACTAATTTCCGTATAAAGTGGCTTTTGGAAATGTTGAAATGCAGTTTGACCGCGCAGGCTCGCACAAAGTGTGGTCCTAGGATCTGGGCCGCGGCATTTTTCCTGTAAATTTTCGTGTGAAGTGGCTCTTGTGAAATGTTGACATGCATTTCGGCTGCGCAGGCTCTCACAAAGTATGGTCCTCGGTCTTGGGATCGGCCTCCTCCTCAACATCGTCATCCCCCACATCAACATCTTCCTCCTCCTCCTCAACATCATTCTCAGCATCATCACTCCCTCCCTCTTCACGTCTTCATCCTCAACCTCATCATCCTCCACCTCATCTTCCGCAACATCATCCTCCTCCACCTCATCTTCCGCCGCTTTATCATCCTTATCATCCTCCTCCCCAACATCGCCATCCTCAACGTCATCATCTCTTTCTCAACCTCCTGATCCTCAACATCATCCTCCTGCACCTCATCATCCTCATCCTCCTCAACCTCTACATCCTCACCATCAACATACTCAAAATCATCATCCTCAACCAAATCCTCATCTTCATCATCACAATCATCATCACCATCATCATCACCATCCCACTCACTACCCTTGCACCTGGCAGTACTATCCTCCACGTCGTGGCCGCGGCCCCAGCGGTGGCCCCGGTCCTGGTGGAGGGCGCGGAGGACGAGGTCGAGGCCCGCTGACAGACGAAATGAGTTGCCAACAGGCAATACGGCAATTGATGAATTGTTCAATCAAATCTTTGCGATTCTCTGACGCCTTGTGGCACTTTGTTGCGCTGCATGGCATTTCGTGGCACTTTTTTGAGTTGCATCGGACAACGCATTGGACGACATGTTGAACTCTGATATTACTCCAAGAAAGTACCTGCGTCAGATCGTGGACCAGATCCCGGTCGCAGAGGAGAAGTTTTTGTTTCAGCAGAGAAGACATGTGAAGACATGTAAAGATATGTAAAGATTGTCAGCGGGGAGACAAAGGAACTGCTGAAGGGTGACATTTGAGTTTCGATCTCTGCAGGACGCGGACGACGGCCGTGAGAGGCGTGGATATTTCATCAATTCCACCGGAAAGTGTCCATGGCCAAACTGTGAGAGGCCGCCACTCCTTGGTGAAGATGGTCGTCTCAGAGCCCGCAAAAAAACGCGTGGCTTTTGCATATTTTGGCATGTTTGCATAGCATTTCGTGCAAGTCTTGTGACAGTTCTGCAAGGCATAATGTGGAGCGCAAAGGGGAGGTTGAGATAGGTCTTGACATGTCTTGACCAAGCCTTGAGTCCGAAAGCACAATGCCTGCATTTGCTACTATCCAGTGCATAATGCATGGGAAGTACGCAGCAAGTACATGTGAGATTGCCAACAGACACTGAATGTTTTGAGCCAAACTCAATGAAGAAACATCAAGAAACAGCTTGCAGATAGTTCTCCAGGTGTCCAGGTGTCCTGGCTGTAACCCACTTACCCATCTGCCCTTAGCCAAAGCATAGCCAAAGCCCCAAAGCCAAGCTGGGCGCATAGCCGGGATAGCCATTCCGAACACTTGCCATGGCTCCATGAGGCCTGGCTGGTCAACTTTTTTTGCATTCAGAAAACAAACACCATTGAAGTCCTAGGAGTGTGCATAAAAGAACAGACCAACACACAGAACATGTAGACAAGATAGTTTAAGACATTTCAATGTGCCAAAGCAGACCAGTGAAAGTTGAACAGAAAGACCTTTCAATCCGAAACGGCCTTCTAGATCTTTTGAGCGCCCTGTAGATTGCGGGTTGTGGGTTTGTTGGTTTGTTGCTTTGTCCCCCCTCAGTGGATTGCTGCAGGCGTTATGTCTGAGGCAGCGCTTCAGGCCACCGGGTTCGAAGAAGTCAGTATTGACATACCCAGGCTGTTTAAAATCCAGGTCTCACATGTCCCCTGTGTATTTTCACATGAAATGCGACACACACACACATAGAGAAATGCACAGACACACGCGTATATTTGTCCACACAGACCAAGCATACGTATACATATACATACGGTAGCGACATTTAAATATGTGGAGGGCGGGCGAGACCGCGACGCCCCGGAGGTAGTATGAAACACCAGTTCCATCCGTATATTTTAATGTATATATGTGTAAACAAATTAATTGGATTCCGTATCTTTAAATGGCCGGGCTTGCCCAGGAAAACCTTCCCGGAGGTAGTCTAAAATACCAGTTCCTATATCTAAAGATGTATATATTTGTATTTTTAAATGTGTATACCGTAGTATGGAGATAGATAGATCGATCGATAGATAGATAGATAGATTCGATAATTAGATAATTAGATAGATTAGGATAGATTAGATAGATTGATAGATTAGATAGATTAGATAGATAGATAGATAGATAGCGAGATAGCTAGATAGCTAGATAGCTAGATAGCTAGATAGATAAATAGATAGATAGCTAGATAGCTAGATAGCTAGATAGCTAGATAGCTAGATAGCTAGATAGCTAGATAGCTAGATAGCTAGATAGCTAGATAGCTAGATAGCTAGATAGATAGCTAGATAGCTAGGTAGCTAGATAGCTAGATAGCTAGATAGCTAGATAGCTAGATAGGTAGATAAGTAGATAAGTAGATAGGTAGATAGGTAGATAGGTAGGTAGGTAGATGGGTAGATAGGTAGATAGATAGAGAGGTAGATAGGTAGACAAGTAAATAGGGAGGTAGGTAGATAGGAAGAAAGGAGGTAGGTAGATAGATAGATCGTAGATAGGTAGGTAGATAGGTAGCTCGATAGATAGTAGGTAGTTAGAAGGCAGATAGAAAGCAAGATAGATAGATCGATAGATAGACCGATAGATGGAAAGAAGGAAAATGATAGCTAGTAGAGAGTAGGTAGATAGATAGATGGGTAGATAGATGGACAGATAGGTAGAAAGATAGACAGAAGGTATATCGATAGATAGTAGGTAGAGGGTAGGTAGATAGGCAGGAAGACAGATAGATAAGATAAGATAAGATTGGTTAGAAAATTACTTTACTTCGTGTGATCCCCACCATGACATTTATCGATTTGTTACTGGCAAAT